TAATCCCTTCTCCTCCACTCTCCTCTCAGAAAATTTGGGGACCTCTCACACAGACCTGGTGTGATTCTCAAGCTCCCTGGTCTGGGATCTGAACCATAAAGCTGGTCATGTAGAATCCAGTGTCTTAACCTCATCAACTTTTTTTTAAAAAGAATTATTTATTGGGGTCGGCAGGTGGTGCGGTGGTAAAGAGCGCTGGACTCCCACATGGCTGACTATGGTTCGAGTCCCAGACTTGGCAGCTTGCTTTCCCTCTCTCTCCCTTTCTCTCTTGCTCTCGTTCTGTCCCTCTCTAGTCAAATTAAAATAAATAATTAAATAAAAAATAAAATAATTCTTTATGGCATGGTGGTTAAGGCACTGGACTCCCTCATGGCCCACCTACGGTTCAAGTCCTGGACCTGGCAGCTTGTCTTCTCACTCTCCCCACTCTGGTCAAACCGAATAATAATAATGATAAAATTAAATAAAGAATGCTTTTAATTTATTATTATAAATTAAATATAAGTGAATAAATGTAAACTATTTCATTTGTTTTTAAAAGAATACATTTTGTTTATCATTATTTATTTTTTAAATTTGACCAGAGAGACAAAGGGGGAGGGGAGAGTGAGAAAGTAATAAGAGGTCTGGGACTAGCACAGAGATGGTGGGAGTCCAGCACCTTAACCACCACACCACCTGCCAGCCCCCTGATCTACGTTTTTGTTTTTTGTTTTTTTTTCCTTTTTTTGGAGAGGTTTTTGCTATAGGGTGCGTGCGCTTGCTGGACAGACAGAGAGAGACAGAGAGACAGAAAGCGAGAAACCACCCCCCAGGGGGGATGGCCACGCCACAATCCCTTCTCCTCCATTCTCCTCTCAGGATCTTGGGCACGCATGTACATGCGCCTGGCGTGAGTTTAAGCCACTGGCTCTGGGACTCGACCCAAGGTCGACTACGTGGGAGTCCAGCGACATAGCCATTACACTAACTGCTGGTCCCACCCCTGATCTACTTTTGTATCTTGTAAAATAGGAAGAGAGAAGAGAAAGAAAAAAATCTTCCTTCCAAGGGGCATCTAAATGCATTCGTGGGGGATGATAACCAGGCTGTCAGTGCCCCCTATGCCCCATATAGGGAAGAGCAGCCACTTCCTCCATAGGAGGCCACCTTGGCCTGGAAACTGAGTCCCTGGGAAAGAAGAGAAAATGTATATTGTGGATGAAACTAATGGTCAAGGCATTCTGGGCATCCCAGAGTGGTGAGGATGGAGAGAACCAGACTTTGGAGGAACGGCAGAAACTTGACAGAGAAATCCAGAGAGAAGCATACACGTGGAGGCACGAATTCCCTAATCTAGGTTCTGTTCAGCCCACAGTCCTTTTCTTCCCGACACCTCTCAGTACACACACCTGAGATCTGCTCTGCCACCCATCTTTTCAAGCCTGGTGCCCAGAAACTCAGCCACTGCAAGCCTGGTTCATCATGGTACCACCTTGGTCGTAGGTTCAGTTCCTCCCCACAGTGACGCATACAGGTTGACACATGCCACAGGGTGACACAGCATATGATGACACCAGACACACAGGGCGACGGTGACACATACATGCATAGTTAATCTCCCCTGCATACACTCATCCACCCACCTCCACAAACAGTCCTAGACGCTCTCCATCCCTCAGTCAAGCTTCCCCCTCTCTGACATACTGCCTCAGCTGGTGACTGTGACAAGAAGGCTTGAGGATCCCTTTTAAGCTGAGCTAAACTTTAAAATTCTTTGGAAAGGTTCCTAACATTTCTCCTCAGAACAAGCAGTTTCTGCACATGACAACACACACTACCGGTGCAAATTCAGAACACATTTGTCCGTTCTCACTCGCACTCACGCTTGCACCATCACACAGCCACTCGTGTGCTCCTGGCTCACATGTGCAAACTATCGGTGCTTCAGGTTTCTCTCCACTACTGGCTCCTTTTGGTCAGCCCACCCCAACTCACCCCCGGGATTTCCCTGACCACAGTCCCACCCACACCCCGGGTCTCCCCCTTCTCCTTCTCTGTCCAGCCGTCGGGGGTTCCTGGGCGGGGAAGCGTCTCCCCAGCGTTGCTGCCCAGAACCACAGGTTTTCTTTCGTCACTCAGAATGGGGGAGAGAAGGGACGCCTGCGGGGCCCGGGTGACGTCGAGGGGACAGCCCCACCGCAGGAAGCGAGGCGGGCTGGGCTCCCTCCTGGCGGGTTCTCCCCAATCATATTGTCGCCGCGCCCCCTGGCGGATACAGGTCCCCGACGGGCTCCAGACGCAAAGAGGAGTAAGGCGGGCGCGCGTGGGAGGGCGTCCCAAGGGGAGGGGTC